GTTAGTTCACTACAATCAGGTAGTTTCATGTGGATTCGTTTCTCTGTGTTTACCCTTTTTTTGTAGACAATATAAATTTGGCTCATATAATTTCGTTTCCCTTTATGTACAGACATCTGACATTTTGTATTATGAAGTTCTGGACATTCCCCTTCCAGAATTGCAAGGTCTGAAAAATCTGAAAGTTGCTTTTCATCATGCCACAAAGGATGAAGTATGTACACAACCTCTTATTTTATTTTTTTATTTTTGAAATAACACGACCTTTTATTTTCTTGCTCTGTCTTATTTTCATGGGCTGCTTCTATACCTTTGAGTCTTTTTCTTTTTGGGTAATCTACAGGTTGTAAATTACAACATCAGATTGCCTAAACAAAGCACTGTTGGGGATGTGATTAATGAACTTAAAACAAAGGTCAGTTTTAGGTACTTCTAGTTATAGGTTTCTATGTTATTATTTAATAGCAGTAGACATCTTCTGTAAATACAAGTTATTGCTGTTGGCTGCATTTCTTTTTCTCTGGCCATGTGTTTGATCAAAATTCTTAATTAAAAGATGATTTTGGTAGTCATTATGAAAAGTTACTCACATACTTTAAAGTAGATGCATAGGTATGATGGTTATTGCTGAAGTACTGTCATGTTCCCATTTTATTGAAGAAACCATTATCACCTGAAAAAGTTTTACTCCATGATGTTGTGTTTTTTTCAAAAAAAGCAAAAAAAAAATTGGTGGACTTTCTTTCAAAGGAAATAACTTTTACTGTTAAACACATTATTTAGCGCCATTTTCTCAGTCCTATGGCATATCTTCACACTGCTGAAGATTCTCTCTTTGTCATCATTTAATTTTTTTTCTTTCTTTCTGATAATTTAGATACTCATTGCTTGCCATAAAACAGGTAGAATTATCTCATCCAAATGCAGAACTTAGACTGCTTGAAGTTTTCTATCACAAGATCTATAAGGTAACAGTTTAGTCTTGAACTGTTGTTCCTAATAGCAATTTAGTGATAAATTTCCACCTGGCAATGTAAGCAGGTTGATACTTTGAGATGATAGAAATGCCATGTTTCACATGTACTATTGTTTCATTTAATCTTGTCTTTGGAAATTATTCTCTATAGCTTATAACATTTACCACATAATTTTCTCATTTCATCCTTGCAGATTTTTCCACCTGGTGAAAAAATTGAGAATATAAATGATCAGTATTGGACTTTACGTGCCGAGGAGGTAAGTCTGTTTTTCATTTCTTTCTTTTTCTTTCATCTTACTGTCTTGGTCAAACATTTGAGATTTAGGTTATTCTTTTGGTGTTTATTATTCTCTTCTTTGTTGCTACTTCTGTTTTCCTTTCATCTCCCACATTTGGATTTGAACTATTTTGTTACTGTACGTGTAAGTAGTTGAGAAGGTGTTGGCCCAAATTTGCTGGATGCTATGACCATTTTTATACATATTACATGCGTGAGTTCTTTAGTTGATCGTTGATGGAGTTACTTCAGACTTTTGGATAAGCTTTTATTCTTAATGAATATAGTCGTGATCCCCCAACCCAAGGAAAAAAATAAAAGAAACAGCATCAGTTCCCCAAGAATGTATTTACCTTTCCTTGATCTTGTCTATGTACAATTGGAAAACTTTGGGCAAAATGATTACATGGCATAGCACATTTTCTGCCAAATTTTGATTCCTAAGACCAGCAAACTTCATTAGGAAGTATGGCATTCTCCATGGATTGTTTCTTAGTGAAGTTCTTTTCTTATAACATTATACTTTTTACTGCTTTGGATTTTGGAAATGGAAGAAAATGTTGATTAGTTGTGACGTTCCATCACATGATGTGATTTAATAAATATTTAACATTTGTTTGTATGTCTTTAAAGCGAGCCAAAAATAAGCTAAGTTAATTTGGGTTTTGACAAGTTCAAGCATTTCATAAAAAATAACTTTTTTGTTCAGGCATACATGTAGAATGACCTTTGGCAGTTTCATTGTGGAAAGCTAACCTTTTAAAAAATTTTGAGTCTCAGGTCCCTGAAGAAGAGAAGAATTTGGGTCCTCGTGATCGTTTAATTCATGTTTACCACTTCACAAAAGAGTCTGCTCAAAATCAGATGGTATAGTCATATGCATGAAATGAAAATAGGCTTTACTTTTTTTTTTCAGAGTATTGGTATTTAATTGAAAATGGTTCATTATTTTTACGAAGTTTTCAATCTTGAAAGGGTTTTTTTTTTCTCCCCAACAGCAAGTACAAAACTTTGGCGAACCCTTTTTCTTGGTCATCCACGATGGTGAAACGTTAGCAGAGGTTAAGGTGCGCATACAAAAGAAATTGCAGGTTCCTGATGAGGAGTTCTCCAAGGTATTCCTTTTCCTTAACATTGACAGTTAGAGGTGGTAACAAGCTAAGCCACTATGAAAGGCGTCTGGCTTTACAGAAGTTTTGGAGCTTTTGTATAATGCTTCTTCATCTTAACCGGCCAAGTATATAACACAATAGGAAAAACATGTTTGGTCATGTATATATGTGTGTGTGTGTATAAATTTACATATCATATGTAAATTGAGTTTGAATTTAATTAGAAAAAAAGGGCCCAAGGACTTGAATACAAGCCTGAAAGAGAAGTTTCAAGTTGAGCTTTGAGCCAAACTTGAGCTCTGCAATATTCAAGTAACCTGAAGAAATATTCAATTTCAATTGGCTAATTTCTATCCTTGAATGCATTTAGTGTTTGAACCAAGTTGGCTAATGTAAAGTTGCCATGTGGAATGAAAATTTCTGCTCAACTGGTTTCTCACTATTGCTTTCTTCTCTATGGTCAGTGGAAGTTTGCCTTTTTGTCACTGGGTCGTCCTGAGTACCTGCTGGACTCTGATATTGTGTTTAACCGTTTCCAGGTTTCTCTCTCTCTCTCTCTCTCTCTCTTTCTCTCTCTCTCTAGCATGCATATTGTACATGTCATGGCAGTTGATGCGGTTTATTCTGGGTATTTAAAATGTATTTTCTCTTTTCTGTGCTGCAGAGAAGAGATGTATATGGTGCTTGGGAGCAGTACCTTGGGTTGGAGCACTCTGACAATGCTCCTAAGAGGGCTTATGCGGTAAATCAGGTAATGTTCCTCTGGCGTTATGGCTTGTACATTCTCACCTAAGCGGGAGTTGGTAAATGGATTTTTAGTTCCAATAAACTTTTGGATACATCACAATATACTTCCATTTAGACATATAAGTTTCTCGATCATATTGTTAATTGATTTTTTTTTTTTTTTTTTTTTTGTTTTTGTGCATGAATATTGCAGAACCGTCACACGTTTGAGAAGCCAGTCAAAATATACAACTAGTCTAACGGCCAATGATTCCTTAGGACATTAAGCGAGCAGGAGCTCTAATTGCACTTTGAAATGGAGAGCATAAAGTAAAAGCTCATTTGCGGGGAATGGAGGGAAAGTGTTGGTTTGAGGTATTAGTTATCATAGGATCAGGTTATTGGTTGTTGTAGATGACTTTTCGCAAGATGTTGGAGGGAAGGTGGAACTATCATTCATCCATATGCTCTGTTGTGATAGATCCCGCTGTTATCATTTGGTTTTAGCGCAACACCAAGATTAGTGGTGGACTTTTCCGTATACAGCTCCAGTGTAATTTAGCAGTACATAAGAAGATTTTGCAGGGATGTATACCGGGTATAGTTGGGCTGCAGTTCGACATTGATTCTTTTTTAGTTTCCCTTTTTGTTTTCTTGTTTTAGTTCCCCGGTTGATGTCTTGAGGGGGGTGGTTTTTGTAAAATGATGGCTTAAAATCTTTATAGTCATGGGTTAAATGATTGTGTACAAGAATTATACCTCTCTGTCCAGCATAATTTATAAAGTTTTGATTGCCTTATATTTTTCAATCCACCCATTGTCCTGCTCCTTTTGCCCTCTGCTTGTCTCTGGGCTTCAACACTGTTTGACCACGCCGTGAACACTAAGTTCATTAAAGGAATATGGACGAGAGGAAAGGATAAAAAACGATGAGGTAGATTTTTTCTTTTTCTTTTTTTTTTTTTTACCCCCTAGAAAAAAATTAGGGTTTTCTAATAGAAAGGAAGTGTATTTTTTTTTTTGTTTGAATAATTGAATGGGAAATAATAAAAAGGTAAATATTAATTTAATAACAATACAGGAAAAGTACAATATTATTTTTTCAGGTAATAAATTAAGAGGTAATATTCTAGCAATTCAACACTATCTATATATGTACTTGTTTCTCTATTTGTAAATAATAACTAAGTTCAAGCCTTTCTACGGTGCTGTGTAAACTTTTCTATTTTTACTCTTCCAGTATTAGTAGTTTCTCTTATAAGATACAGTCTTGTAGTTACCCCTTCAAAAAATATTTTGAGATATATATATATATATATATATATGTCTGTGCCTGTATATAGAATCGAAAAAAGGAGTGCAAGACAAGTCCTCATAGTTGAAAATTCACTCAAAAACTTTGAAAAACCCTGTTCATGGTAGATGGTGAAATCAATTTGGTGTAAAGCATCTATGAGGGTACTTTTGTAACGGACCCGGAAGTATTAAAATGAAATGAGTATTTAAATATATCAAATGCGGAAGCGAGATCAAAATTTCAGTTAACATCCCTTACACGAAAACCAAAAACGTACTTAAATTATAAAAGGTTAAACTAACTAAAAGAAAAACTCGAAAACAAAGCTATGAGCATGACTACAGAGTCTCTAGGCATCCCTTTCATCGTCCTCCTGCGGAACGGGCTCGGGAACCATGTTTTCCTGATCTGAAATGGTTAAATAAGGAGTGAGCTACACTAGCCCAGTAAGAACATCACGATATCTCACCGTCACGGAGGTAAAGGTGGGTAGAAAACACAAAAAGACCAATGGAGCATAATTTACAATAAACTCGCTTATTAACATAAAAACCTTTACCATCCAGTTACCTCGGTGGAATTTATGAAAACGATATAAGAAAACAATAACATTATCATAATCATGGAATAATATAAGCTGTAAAACATAACACTTATCACGCCTCTTGTAATTCAATTATTGTACAACATATCTTTTTCTCATTTACCAGCCTACTAGTATCCGTGGGGGCCCATAGGGGTCCCGCTACCCGTTAACCTTTAACATTCATAATCAGTTTCCAAGACCGTCCCCATACCCTGTCCGATATGGGCGCCAAAACCATAAACCTTAATACCCCGTCCGGTATGAGGGTGAAACGGGCCGTCCCCATACCCCGTCCGGTACGGACGCCAAAACCATAAGATCTCCATACCCCGTCCGGCATGTGAGACCACAATCCCGGTAGGGTTCCCTACGAACCCGGTCCGTCCACCATCTCCCAGGATATCTAGTTAGGCTGACCCCCATAATACAATTATCAGTCTACACAATCTTTCATTTTCTTTTTCCTCAGTCAGCATCATCAATTCACATTTAAACAAGCAAATTGTAATTCATGCCAAATAGACAACATGCAGTATCAGTTTTTTTTTTCAGTCATTCAATCCATAATTAATAAAAACGTAGTATATGCACACAAATCTGTAAAATGAACACATCAAACCTCATTTTGCATTTAAAGCTGTAAACAGGCCAAATAACAGTAAATCACTAATCACACTAGACTCGGGCTCCATTAGCCACCTTAAGCAATTTCACACATTCGTTAATTCAAGAAATACCGTTTTTATCATTTTGAACTTTAATACCGTGATAGGAAAATAGGGTGAGGGGTCCTTACTCGTTTCGGGGTCCGAACACGGCTTCACGGTGCGCCTACAGGCTGTCCCTAATTTTCTCTGAATTTTTCCCGGGGAACTGAAACGCACTACTGGTACCTGCACGTGTTCCAAAAAAATCCCAAATTAGGCCCAGGGCCTCAATCGGCCCAAATCGCAACTCCGGCACGGCGGCTCCGCCGTGCTCCGGCGACGGCGCTGCCGCTGGCGGCGGCGAGTCGCCTCGGGTTGGCTGTTTTCGGCCGAATTCGGCCACACTCGCATCGGTCCCTGTGAGAAAACAACCCTAGGGCCCTTCGGGGGCCAAAAAATCACGGAAAAACGGAAGCTTACCGGCGGCGGCGCTCTTGGGTGCGGCGGCTCTCCGGCGAGGTTCGTGTTTTGGTGATTCGGCTCCGGTCAACCTGTAGAGAAAAGAATGGTGATCACGGTGATATAAAAATTGCATCAAACGGAGGCCGGGAAGGGCCTCATCGGAGGCAAAAACCGAGAAGGGGCGCGGCGGCGCCGTTGGGCTTCGGCCGTGTATTCCGGCTGTTTGGCCGGAATTTTGGCTCCGATTTGGCCACAGGAGGAATCAGCGTGGAAAAACGAGTCGGGGGTACGAAATTTACCTCGATCGGCGGTCGGAAGTTCCTCCGGTACGGCGGCGGGTGGCGGCGGCCGGCTTTTGGTTCGTCTTCTCCGGCGAGTGGCAGGCGGCTAGGGTTTGTGGTCTGGTGTGGGGGTTCTATTTATAACCCCTTGCCATTTGATCTCAGCCGTCCATTTTGATTTAATCTGGGTCGTCCGATCGCGCCCACGCAGATCGCCAACGTGGCCCTTTTTGGAACGACGTGGTATTACCACGTGGCAGGTCCTGGTTGGCCGGGACTGCTGACCGGACCTGCTGACGTGGCTGCTGGCGTGGCTTTTTTTTTTTTTTTTTTTTTTTTTTTTTTTTTTCCGGGTGCTACAACTTTAATTTTTCAAATGAGGATAACAATTAGAAAGTAACAATCCTCGTAGTTCTAAGGAGACAACATATTATGGATATTATTCACTAAATTTGGAGGGGGAAATTTCATGCCTTTTTGAAAAATCTTACCCTTGAATCTCTATAATTTATTGGATTTTGAAAATTTTGAAATTATATTATCTTAAATTGGGATTATTGAGGGCAAAAATCTTAAAAGGGTACTTAATCTTAGATTTTAATTTATGGTTTAGGCTATTAATTCAAATGTATGTGTCTTGCTATATCTATAGACATATTTCATAAACCCCCTTCTAATTTTAACACATTTTCTTTATTTTGTGATTAAAAATTTTATTTGGTCAAACTGCACATAATATTAATATAAATTTATGAAATTTGAATATCTAAAAGAAAAAGAAATTAAGCAAAATGGTGTCCTGTGCTTGACTAAAACCATAATTTCTATTATAGATTTCCATATTATATATTGTTTGTTCGAAGCTTTAAACCATAATTTCTATTGTTGACTAAAATCTATTTTTAATTTGAGTTTTTCTTGGTTCAACCATCAATACAAATTGTGATGTTTTCACTACAATAATGTGATATATGTTTTTATTTGGATGAATATATATTCCATTGGATAAATTAATTAAAATGATATGGAATTAACCAATTAATTAGCAAGTTTAATTAATGATAAACAATGTGTGTATCGAAATTTTATTAATAAACTTAGAATAATTCAATTACCAAAAAAAGAATGAATAAGTAATAATTATTGTCACATATAAGTTATATAAATAATTTATCAAATTGTTAAAAAATAACGAATTTAACGAACATAACGAACTCAACGGTCAACTAAAAAAATAACGGTCTTATTAACTAAATTTCAAATATTTGTTGTTAATGAATTCAAAAAATAAAAACACAGTAGTACCAAAAGCTGGCAAAGGCGTTACAAAATAGGGGTTTGGATTGTTGGGTTAGACAGTAAACCCTCTTTACTGATATTTGTTTGTTCCTACATGTATATTTATGATTTTAGCTGCAATTAGAAAATTTTTGAGAGTAGAATTAGTACCCACTATTTATATCTGAAAAAAGCGACCCAATTCATTGCACCTGACCTCACCAACCCTCTCTTTTCCCAATTCCCACACAACCCTAAAACAGAAGTCACTTTCAATCTGTGCTCCAGAAATCTCCCCGATCCTTCTCACCATTTTGCTTCTCTCCGTCCGATCAGGTATGAACTATTCTTCTTTCTCTCTGTCCGATTATGTATAAATTTTTCTTCTTTTTGTTTATCTTTTTCTTGCATAAATAATGTATCTATACTTCTTTATCTGTCATGTATTTGTTCTTCATATATCTGTAATTTTTCATCTGTTATATTTTTATAATCTGTTATCTGTGATATATATGTTATTCATACTTCTACAATCATTCGTTTATGATATCTGTGATCTATTTCTACTTCATATATAGATAATCTTTTATCTATGATCTATCTATGCTTAATAGATTGATAGTTTATCTTTATTTTCTTGTGTGTTTCTGTGTGGGTGTATATTGACATATTTGAATTTCATATATGAGTGATATTTATTCTACTTTTTTATTAATTTTGTCCAAAATTATTTTTTTTTATATTTGATTTGATGTTTTCATGATTATTTCTTGTTATTTACAGGCTCTGTGTGTTTTTTATTGTGATTTGATTTACCTTTTATTTTTGTTCTGATGCATCATTTCCAGACTTAAAGGGTATGTGTTCTTATTCAAAATTTGATTTATATTTCTCCTTTGTTCTACATTTTGGGTTTTGATAAATTTAAACTTTCTGTGTATGCTTGATGGATTTTTTTTTTGGGGGAGGGGGGGGGAGGGGGTTGTTTTGGGTTATAGATCTATTTCTGATTTGTAATTCTTAGTTTACTCATGTTCCAATATTTTTTTTGTTTTTGTAGTTCTTAGTTTACTCATGTTCCAATATTTTTTTTATTATTTTTTTTGTTTCATCATACTTTAATTATTTTGTGCGAAAGTCGATGTCTAAACATAAATTATACTTTCAGCCCGTTGCTTTTTCAAAATTCAAAATTTTCAAAATTTTCGGGTTTGGTTTGTTGTCCTTCTTCTT